TATCTGAAACCTGGATATCTTCTCAGTTCTCGGACCAAGAGTTAGCATTACCTGGGATGACTTTGTTCCGCAACGACAGAAAAACAGGAATTGGGGGCGGAGTAGCCATATACATAAGCTCTTGCTTGGAGGTGCACCAGGTTCACAACCTCGAGTTTAACAATCTTGAGGAATCCATATGGTGCTCGGTAAGATTGTCTAGCACTTCCAGGTGTCTAGTCTGAGTCATTTACAGGAAGCCAACTGCCGACACCGAGTACGATAGTCGTATGCTGGAAGGACTATCCCGCTCTATCCGTCTCGGTTTCACACACATCCTGATTCTAGGGGACTTTAATCTCCCTAGAGTCAACTTCGCGGAACACACGTACACTGGAGGCGACAACTCAATTGAAGCTCGGTTCTTCAACCTCATCGATGACTTGGGCTTATATGAAAATGTGAGGTCGGCAAGTCGTTGGAGAAACAGTCAGACACCATCGTGCTTAGACTGTGTATTCACTAACGAAGAATTCCTAGTCGACAACCTCTCAATCCTGGCTCCTCTGGGAAAGAGCGATCATGCCGTCATAGCCTTCAGTTTTGTCATCAAAACTAAGCTAAGGTATCCCAACAATAATTTGCGTTGGAATTTTAAACGGCTGAATGTGCCAGCTCTACATGACTATCTACATCATGTGGTTTGGGATGTTCACCCTCAACTTGATGTGGATGGTCATTGGGACTTCTTACTGCACACGCTCTTATGTGCTACAGACCATTCAGTTCCTCAAACGGTTCCCAAAAGCTTCAAGCCACCTACAGTAATCAAGAACCGTACCCTTCGCCTGCTAAGCCGCAAACGGCACTGTTGGGCGGAATACAAACGAACTAATAACGATGGAGCGTATAGGCAATACAAACATATCAGGAACACATGCACGAAGGCTATAAGAGAAGACAGGCTTCAGTACCAAACAAAGCTTATGGACAAATTCGCCTCTAACCCTAGAAGCCTATTCCGTTATGCAGCCTCTCTTCGTCAAGCCAAAACAGGAGTTTCTCAACTGCTAGGTCTTAACGGCCCGACCAACAACGATGGCGACGCCGCTAACCTTCTGGCGGCACATTACTCTCAAACATTTCAACCGGCTGACATCAACTTTATTGACGACAGTTTCATCTGCAATTCCACAGGACTTTCTGAAGTGGACCTAAGCGCTGACTTGGTGTTCCGGAAATTGCAGCACTTAAGACTTGACACTTCTCGTGGCCCGGATATGGTTCATCCTGCCATACTGAGGGAGGCAGCCTCAATCCTGGCAACGCCGCTTAGCGTGATGTTTTCACACTCGCTTAGCCGAGGCAAATTACCGGAAAACTGGAAGTTGGCCCACATCACACCAATTTTCAAAGGTGGTCGACGCAATGAACCTTCAAGTTATCGGCCGGTGGCTCTTCTGTCATTACCTTCAAAACTCATGGAGTCCCAAATATGCGACGGTTTAAACGACTATCTACTGTCCTTAAATTTCTTCTCACCCCTACAGCATGATTTCAGGAAGGGTTACACTTGTATAACCAACCTGCTGACTGCGGTGGACAGATTGACAAGCATTCTCGATCGCAAGGGAAAGATTGACATCATCTACCTAGATTTCTCAAAAGCTTTTGATAAGGTTAACCATTTATGTCTTATCAATAAGCTCAAATGACTAGGTATCAGACCACCTCTAATCGACTGGCTTACTTCATACCTAAAAAATCGACACTTTAAGGTTAGGGTTAATTTCACTTTATCTCAGGCTATGGAATGTCCTAGTGGGGTCCCCCAGGGCTCAGTACTAGGGCCTCTTCTCTTCTTGATCTACATAAATGATCTTCCTCAACAGGTAACGTCAGACTTACTACTTTTTGCCGACGACGTGAAACTTTGGAGAGAAATACGCAACCAAGACGATACACAGGCACTTCAGGAGGATCTGACGCGACTTCAAAGTTGGGCAGACGATAACGGACTTACCTTTAACACTTCAAAGTGTAAAGTAGTCCATCTGCGACATGTCGCAAACTACAGTTACAACTTAGGAAACTCCTCTCTAGTAGTATCCCAAGTCGAAAAAGATTTAGGAGTCCTGGTGCCCCATGACTTAAAGTCTTACGCTAACTGTGACAAAAATGCCTTCCGAGCAAACCTTGCACTGGTAACGTTGAAGCGCATTTTTGGACAGTTTGACGGACGAACTTTCCATACAATCTTCAATAGTTTCATCCGTCCCCATTTAGAGTACGGAAGCACAGTACTCCCCCCTCACTCCAAAAGGACAAGGTCACTTTGGAGCGTATCCAACGGCGAGCCACGAAATCAGTTCGAGGACTCAAATCTAAGCCTTACGAAGAACGCCTCCGTTCACTAGACCTTTACCCACTAGAGTATAGGCGTCTTAGAGGTGATTTACTAATGACTTATAGCATTCTTAACACTTCTGGACATCCTCTTAAACACCTACTTAAGCTTAGTTCGAATAATAACCTAAGGGGTAACACCCAGAAACTGGAAACACAACATAGCAAGACGGAATGTAGACACAACTTCTACTCCTTAAGAGTTGTAAAAAGCTGGAATTCGCTGCCGGCCGAGCTAGTCCAAGCGACTTCTCAGGAGTCCTTCAAGAGGCAACTTGACCTATTCTTAAGGACCAAGGACAGCATCACATTATGATTTACCAGTTTCTTTTCCTCTTTTATTGTTAACATACCTAGGTTCCTGCCTGGAGGATTTGGTGATCCCCTGCTACTAGACACGGAAGCCTGTTAAGCGAAAGCTTCTTCTATTCCGTCCACAACCATTTGAACCATTTGAGTGGTCAATGTCTGAAACGTCTAACCCGAACAAGTGGCATCAGCCCCATCATTGAACATTTTTAAGGGGAAGTCAGACCTTTACTGGAAGGCACACTATTAGGATTAACACAGGTCCGCCAACCTACTATCCTTAACACTGAAGACTGAAGACCTCGGTTTTTGGTGTATGCGTTACGCTTGCATGTTGCTTCTTGTTTTGTGCTTGTTGTGTATAATTCGTCATAGTTGTTTCCGACTTTGTAGCATCATAATTTACTTTTATAAAAAATTGCATTTAAGATTCACAGTTTGGGGTGCTTTCAAATGCTTTTCAGTCTTCAGTAACAAGGATAGGAAGTCTATCGACCTACATTAATCCTTGCAGTTTGTAACACTGTGGAGGCCCGATCTCGTTTTGAATATATCGACAAAAGGTGCCGATATTACGTGTTCTGGTATTTAGTTTCAGTAATTCACTACTCTGTGCGATAAACGGAACCCCAGACGTAGACGACTTGATCTCGGTTTTTGAACTTTGTCCCCTCAAATGATCAATCCTAGACAGAAGGAAAAGATGAGACATATTAATACAAAGGTCGTCGTTCAGCATACGATAAGCTAATATTAGATCAACCATTATTCTACATTAAGATAATGGAAATAAGTTAAGGCGTCTCAATCTGTCTTCATAAGATAGGTCATAGTAGTACTAAACCAACCAAAAGACATGACCATCACAGCCAAATTAAGTTGATTCTTTTAAATATAATATTTTCCAGTACTGACTTTCTCGAAAAGTGTGGTTTGCAATTTTCTGCGTCTTGTCACCCTAGTACAATGTTATTTGTTCCATGACCATGAGTTCATTATGTTAGTCCTAGGTTTTTCGTGCCATTACTACACTCAAGCGGAAACAACCCCCCAAATGGTGTTTTGAACATCTATGTCTACAGTTCTTTCATGATATTGGTTCTTAAATGGTTTATCCTAGTTTAGCCGGATATGTCATAATGCGTTGCTAAATCTATGGTTTCTTTTGCTTTAATCATTAGCTATAAAAACAGGCGACAACTATTCATTGTCATTAGTATAACTAAGTTTCGTGGTAGTGCTTTATTCAAATCTATTTAGTTTGTTGAACTGCATTTAAAGTTAAACACTTTCTGCTTAGGGCTCGAGATAGTTGTAATTATTAGTTGGCTTGACTTAAAATCGGCTGTAGAGGTACGTATACGTTTTTTTATTGATCTAAAAGTCAAGCCTAGTTTGTTTGTGTTTTCTTTTACTCGGTCTCATTTATTCTGTTTGACTGATAATTTCCGTTAACTGTTGTGAATCGTAGCAGTATGGAGATTTGGATTAGTTTTTGCAATGTTTTTAACTGACTGAATGAATAAATGAAGGTGATGAGCTCTAATAATGGCGTATTCATGATTACCAGTCCTTTCCAAACACTTGGATATAAATTAAACAGTAAATGACGAGTAATAATAACAGAAGTACTTATTCCAAATGAATAAGATCTATTATTTCTTTTGATCAACGTCAAATAAAACTGTTGTGTGTGAAAAAATACCCATCGATTGTCTGCTTTATCCATTGGGAGTTATTTACTTAGTAGGGTTGATCGCTTCACTTATCTTGGAAGTCTCACAAACTTCAATGGGTCGACAACCAGTAAACTCCGTCTGTTTTTTTCTTTTTTGAATTGTTACTTCAGCTATATACTTATATCTAGGTTATCTCTCCTGAACATCACCGTGGATCTGATGAAGCTACTTTAAACCTAAATTAACTCACTTTGTCCATTTCGGTTGTTATTCACTTGTCTACGACTCGTCATGTGTTTAAAAGTACTGTCAAGATAATAGTTATACTGTAGTATAATGAGGAATCATCTTTTTTTGTAGGACAGTCGTATCACTTATGTTGGTGTTAGAGTAAAAAAGAAACCATTTTCACGGTCGTAAAGAAGGATAGTATTTATTCTCTGATAACCCTAGGATGATCTAAATTAATAAATATGTTATGGGTATAAATCGTCTTTGAAGACTTACAAAACATTTTAAATGTAAATGACTTAATGTAATTTACCAGGAATGTGTGAGTAATTTAATGTTACTACTTTCTTCGTAGGTACTCTTACCTACAATGAAGTTTTACTTATATTTCAGCACATGCTTTCTCAGACGAATAATTCCATATCATACCCTACAACTACCAATAACTCAATCACAATTCTTTATGGTAGTCAAACGGGCAACGCTCAGTCGTTAGCTGAGTTGCTCGCTCTCCAATCATATCGAATTTTCGATCAGGAATGTGTCAAATCTAATTTAGAACGTCTTCCTATTATTCATCTACTATCAATGGATGACTATACACCTGTATCACGACTTGCGAAGGAAAAAGGTGTGGTGATATTCGTTTGTTCCACTACAGGTCATGGTGTTCCTCCAGATAATATGTCACTATTTTGGAAAAAAATAATGAATCGAGCTTTGATTCCAGGTCGTTCGCTCCCACCAGATTTACATTTTGCTGTCCTTGGACTTGGTGATTCTTCTTATCCTATGTTCAACTTTGTCGCTAAGAAGCTTTATCGTCGTTTGCTTCAACTTGGCGCCACTCCACTTTGCACAGAAATTAGACGTGATCAAGAATATGAAGAAAGTGAAAATTCAAGTCTTGGTTTAGCTGATGAACAGTCCGAGTTAGGTATAAATGAGGTTTTGCGCTGTTGGATTCCAGCTCTTTGGGACAGCGTTATAAAGTTCTTTGGCGTTCCGACTTCAGAACGATTATCACAATTTATTAGTTGGGACAACTTGAAAAATCCTGATTTTGTGTTTAGTTTATGGCCTAAATACGATGTCGTTTGTTCCAGCTTAGTGCACAATCCCAGTTTACAATCCACAAGTGAAAGTAATTTGCTATATCAGCTTATCAAGCAAGTCGAATTTGACAATGCGCATTCGTTCATGTCTAATCCAATCCCAACTAATGCTCAATGGTTTCAGGTGGTACGTTGTAAACGTGTTACTAGTGCGGACCATTTCCAGGATACGCGACTATTGGAATTGTCTTATAAAGTGAGTGTTACTTAATTATTTTAGTTTTATAGCAATATCTGTTGCGTCAGATTGACCAACATCCACTTGTTGGAAATGTTTCATGGGAAAATGTTATATGCAGCTAGGTACATTCTTAAATGCAAACTTGAGTGGCAATTGATGACGATGATTCATGTGATAACCTATAACAAGCACTCTAGATTCTCAAGGGAGTGTATTTGAAAAGAAAACAGATATAAATGAAAATATCCCGTCATTATGTACTTAAAGAGTTCCTTATGGATACCCAGTTACTTCTTACCTGGTCAATGTAACCATGATATCAATCATTGTAGTGCTATTGAATTTTCCTGGTTCAACATTAATGAAGTCTGAGTCAGTCAGTCGGCTACAACGTAGAACCGAGCACATATATACGTCGGTCCAAGTTGCCACACCTCATTAGCATAACAAGATGACCACTAAATTCACAGAAGTAGTTACTTCGATGGTGGCAATATACAAAAGAAAGATTGCATATAAGGATATAGCACAGGAAGAAAGAATTAATTGGTAGAAAGAAAGATATGAAACAATTTTAATCTCTTAGTTTAAGGGAAGATAGAGAGTGTATACACCTACGCCATTGTGATCGATTTTGAGTCATGTCAACCCGAGTCTTCAACCACTGGTTACGATAGTCACGCGGACCCCAACCAAGCAGTCTGCATCTACCAACATGGCTAAGACTAGGAGTTAGTGACTTTAAGGACTGATGCCACATTTTGGTCTGGTCGCCCCTAACTTTCTTCCAGCCGTCTCCAACACTAGTCACCATTGCGCTTTGTGGTAGTCGATGTTCAGGCATACGTAACACGTGGACCATCTCAGTCGATGAATATTCACAACCTCATTAACTGATTTACCATTATTCCCCAATAACTTGAGTCTAACCTCACTATCACTTATCTGGTGATCCCAGCAGATGCGAGCAATATTTCTAAGGCATCTGTGGTCAAATACTAGTAGCTTACGAGTGTCTTCTACTCTTAATGGCCACGTTTAGCATCCGTAAAGTGGAAGGGAATGAACTGCAGTGATACACGGAGGGACTTTCCCTATGCATCTGTTAAACGAGTCGATAACCCCTTCATCAATTTTTCCATAATAAATAATGTTTAGTGTATATTAGAACGTTGATTAAAACTTGTATTATGTTTATTCATCACTACTAGTGCACCTATCATCTTGCTATCAATACTTACCTTTACTTATTATGTTCAGTGATATAATGTATTTAATTTTTTGTTATTGACTCATAAACTGCCTTGATCAGTTTACTATTTTTCATATGTTTATATAAATATCATTGCATATCAAAGCCTGATGATGACCAAAGTGAAAACATCATCGTTTGCTTATGTGTTATTCTAGGTTAACAAGTAATGTAAAAATTTTGATAAGAATTCGGATCTTGGTATAACAATACTTAAGATCAATCCGACTTGTGGATTGAAGATTCTTCGGCCAATCGATGTCTGACAATTCAGGGTATTCTTGTGACAGAGTTTATGTACACCAGTATGGTTGCTGACATCACTATACTTATGTTGTTTTCATTATATCGGCGATGTATGTGGTTTATCAAGATTTGTTATGTATTTATTATCTTTGTGGTATACCGATGTATTTACTTACGCCTGTTACACCTCGTGGAGGAGCGTTAGCTGACCACCATGGTTCTTCATCATACTCTGTTCTGGGCAATTCTTTCCAGTTGCCATTCATCCTTTTGATATTTGCTTCCAATTCCTGAAGTCCGCGTGTAGCTCTTCTAGAGTTACTTCCGGTCCCAAGCCCGGGTAAATGAGGAGGGTTGGGCATGGGGTAAATAAACCCATCCCGTAGAAAACAACCCTCCTAAAATTGCTAACCATAAACAATCTAAACCATTCAAACTCTGTCCTCCGAGTTGAACTATCTTTATCCAGAAGAATTATGATACCTCATGGTGAAAGCCGAGATTCTTCGGAAGTCAAGAGACCGATGCCTCTTCTAACAACCAGAGCAACAATTACTATGAGTACATGCAATGTCCGGATAATGTGAGAGACCGGGTGGACCAGACAAATGGTCACGGAAATGAGATAACAATTGGCAGTACTCGGAATCAGCGAAACCCATTGGACCCAAGCTAAACAGCAAAGGCTAGTTACGAGAGAGATGCTAACGTACTCCGGTCACAAAGAGAAGAAATGCTCCACGCATTCATGGGGTTGCTCTGGTGCTGTCCAAAAAAGCCCAACGAGCACTTAGTGGATGGGAATCTCACCGCTCCAGAATCATCAAACCATGGTTTAAAACAAAGAACCAGGGAATCATAATCGATGTTATCCAATGTTATGCGCCCACTAATGATAGCAATAACGACGATAAAGACCAACTTCACGAGAGGCTGGAATCGATCATTATGAAGTGCTCAGCAAACGACCTGACCATCCAGGTGGGAAACCTAAACACCAAATTCGGAGTGGACAACCCCGGATATGAAGATATCATGAGACGCCGTGCACTGACTGGAGGAAGGAAGAAGAATGGTGAAAGATGTACAAATCTCTATGCATTAAAAAATTGGGTATAGGCGGCAAAATATTCCCCACAAACGCATATACAAAGCTACATGTGTCTCACTGGACTACACCACGGAGTACGAGATAGATCGTATTTGTATCCGTAAAAAAATCAGGTCAATAGAAGACATGAGGACCAAAAGAGGAGCTGACATAGCTTCAGATCACCACCTGATAATTGCCAAGAAGAAACTGAAGCTAAAGAAGCACTGGACAACTGGACAAACTTAACCAATTCAAGATAACTATCAACATCAGGTTCTAAGCATTACAAGATCTTAAAGAAGAAGAAAATCTACTATGGGGGACAATCGGAAAGGGATCAAGCAAGCACTAACTTCAACGTATCACGAGGTTCTGGGTCACAAGTAGCATCATCATAAGGAATGGGTCTCTATGGAAACCTTGGACAAGATTCAAGAAAGGAAGAACACAAAGACAACAATTAACAACAGCCGAACAAGAGCAGGGAAAGTCAAGGCATAAGTTGGATACATAGAAGCAAACAAACGAGTGAAGAAGAGTATTAGAGTTGGCAAACGGAAATACGTGGAAGACCTAACAACAACAGCCGGAAAAGCTGTAACAGAAGGAAATATTAAACAACTATATGACACAAAGAAGAAACCGATAGGAAAATATAGTAAATCAGAGAGGTCGGTCAAGAACAAAGAAGGTGAGCCAATCACTGAAATTCAAGGACAGAGGAACAAATGGGTGGAATACTTAGAGGAACTCTTGAACAGACCAGCTTCACTGAATCCACCGGACATCGAAGTGGCACGCACATCTTCCTATAGCTGTCACTCCACCAATGATCAAAGAAATCAGGATGGTCATCAGACAAATCAAGAGTGGGAAAGCAGTTCGATCTGACAATATAGCAGCTGGAGCACTGAAGTCAGATGTAGGAGCAATTGCAAACATGCTCCACGTCCTATTCAGGAAGATTTTCGGGGAAAGAGGGGGCACCTCATCAAGATACCACAGAAAGGAGATCTTCGCAAATGTGAGAACTACAGAGGCATCACACTACTATCGGCACCAGGAAAGGTTTTCAGCAGAGTGCTGCTGAACCAGATAAAAATTCAGTAGACACCCAACTTCGAGATTAACAGGCTGGATCCCGTAAGGTTCAGTCGTACACAGACCAAATCGCGGCACTACGGATCATCATTAGACAGTCAGTTGAATGGAACTCGTCACTGTACTTAAATCTCCTTGACTATTATTAAAAGCCGTCTGGCAGTGTGGGTAGGATAACCTTCTGGAACCTTCTTCGATACTATGGAGTGAGAGTAGCTCAGAAAATCGTCAAAATCTTCCAGAATTCATACGATGGACTACACTGCAAAGTGGTACATAGAGGACAGCTGACAGATGCATTACAAGTGAGGAATGGTATTAAACAAGGCTGATTACTCTCTCCCTCTCTCTTCTGATGGTTGACTGGATTATGAAGACCTCCACATCTCAGGGGAAGCACGGAATACAGTGAACAGTTTAGATGCAACTGGACGATCCAGACTTTGCACATGACCTAGCTCTTCGATCCCATACACTTGATGGAGGAATTCTGGAGGTGGAAGTCTATACATACATACATGAGCAGCATCGTCGATAAACAGAGAAGATCTGATACAGACGTGAAGATCAAGATTAACAAAGTATGAGCAGCATTCCTACAGTTGAAGAACATATGGAACTCAAAACAACTGTCAACCAATATCAATACGAATGTCAAGACAGTTCTACTGTATGGAGCTGAAACTTCGAGAACTACTACCACGATCGTCAAAATGTAGGAATTTTTTTGAACAATTGTCTACGCAAGATACTCCATATCCGTTGGTCAAATACGACCAGTAAGAACCTACTGTGACAGAAAACAAACCAACTTCCAGCTAAATATGAAATTAGGAAATGACGCTAGAGGTGGATAGGACATATATTGTGGGAGTCATCAAACTGCATCACGAAGCAAGTCCTAACTTGGAATCCTGAAGAAAAAAGGAAAATAGAAAGACCAGTAAAAACACCACGTCGGGAACTGGAAACAGATGTCAAAAAGGTGAATAGCAATTGCAAAGGATTGTCCAGGACATTGTTGAATGAAGAATGCTGGTGGGCGGCATGAGGGGTTCAGGTGTAAGGAAGTAAGTAAAAGGTGTTCAAGTGTACCGTGTTCTTGTTTGGTCGAGGAAATTTGAGTTTTATATGTGACACAGTGATTAGTCTTCTGAGACTTCAAGCAACTGTCTACAGATTTTCCCATTCAATCTCATATTCTTATTCGTATATATACATATGAACAAGTACGTCCTTTAAAAATGTGATTCACTGCATTATTTGACTAAGGATGGCTATTTCATCATATTCATCTGTCCTCTAACGCCGTAGTCGTTATAATAGTTATTATTAGTTATTTAAAACTTTTCTGTAATAGTCGATCTCGTTTTTCTTCATTTTCATGGTTTATACAACTATGTTCGGTAGTTTAATAACATTTATTGATTTTCTTAGATATTAAAATGATTGTAAGTTATGTTATTTTTTCCTATCTCTTTTAATATACCTAGTATAGTCTGATATCGATTTAAAATCGGATGAATTTCGACTTGGTTCTGTGCTTTATGTCCAGCCTACAAATCGTAAAGAAGATATTTTATCTTTTTTTCAAATAACTCGTTTGAATCCAACTGAACGTGTAAAAATTACTCAATGCCATCCGAATTTTCCTGTACCTCATCTACTCAGTGCATTGGAAGAAAATGACTGCGATGTGTCTGTTGCTTGGCTTGCTACATATTATTTTGATTTGAATGCAACTCCACAACAATGTTTCTTTGTTAATTACTGTGCTTTTGCTATCAATTGTTTGAAACTTTCAAAAAACCCGGATAGAGCACAACACATAGACAAAGATCGTTTAAAATTAGAGATTGATCGGTTAACTGATCTAGCTTCAGCTGAAAACTCCGATGATATCGATGATTTATATGATTATGTTTTCCGTCCTTGTCGACGTGTAGTTGAAGTACTTGCAGATTTCCCGGTTACATCAAGTCTCTTAACATTACAGTATATACTTGACATACTTCCTGGGCCGATTCTTGCGCGACCTTATTCAGTGGCGTCTCCTCCACCGAAAATTGAGTTACTTGTTGCTGTGGTAAATTATCGTACACGTTTGTCAACACCACGTATTGGAACATCTTCAAATTACTTAGCTTCTCTTAACCCCGGAGATTGTCTTAGTGGATGGTTTGGTACTATATCTGGTGGTTTTAACTTCGATAGACTTTTAACACTTTCACCTCCTTCTTGTCTATTGATTGCTACCGGCACTGGTATTGCACCGTTCCACAGCTTTTTGTTACATCAATATAATTCTCTTATGTCTCATTTGAATCATGATATGCTTCCAACAAACGTTCTCTTTTTCGGTTGCCGTTACTCCACAAAAGATTATTATTTCGCTTCAGATTTTAAAATGCTAGAACAAAAGGGTTGGGTAAGGATCATCCCAGCATTTTCCCGAGAAAATACATCTACCGTGTCGCCATCACGACGTCAGTATGTACAAGACCAATTGAGAAATTATCCAGAAATAGTTTGGTCTATACTTAAATCTCCACAAAGTCATGTATTTATTGTGGGGAATCAAAAAACAATGCCTGATGAAGTACGTGAAGCGTTAGTGTATGCCATTGTCAATGCAAATCACACAGATTCCAGTGGTGCTGAGATATTATTAGATCAAATGGAAACAGAAAATCGTATACAGATTGAATCTTGGGCATAACGATGTCTGTATGGAAAAGAGAATGATATATATATATTCAATGTAGTCTTGGTTATGCATTTAACTTTGTTTCATATGAATATTGTACAAAGTAAACTATGTTTATTGCGAACACTTTCGGTTTTGATATATTGTGTGTTAGAATATGGTTTTCAGTATCTGGTGATTGTGTCCTGCTCAATTAACTTCGAAAACTAGGTTCAGTGTGATATCGGTGTTTAAGTGTTAGCAGGATAGAACCTTGATCAGTGCATTATTGAAACAGGACTAATTCTAAACATTCTGATTGATCTATCTTTCATATCAGATTTGTGTCGTTACGGGTGAGAGTTTTCCCGAATTCATGTCAAGAAAGTAAAAGGTCTCTGATGCAAAACTATCTTTCAAACCTCATATTTATTCTCAAAATAATCGTAATTCTATCTTTTCACACATATACTTCAGTGATCGAGTTTTCAGTCAAATATATCAATCCGTCGTAAAAATCACGACCATGTGAATTCAATTTTCATAAACCTCTTCATTAAGTCAGCGTGTACTGGTAGGATGACTTGATCCTTTTTAATCTTTTAAACCACTAGATTCGGACTGTGGATTATATTACTCCGCTTTCTGCAAGATATGACGTTTCTGGATTAATTTTCTTATAGACTCGAGAATATGACTTACTGAAGATTTTCGAGATAGGCTGAAACAGACGTTTATCGATTCCTTGTTTTTGGCGTTTCACTGTTCTACCAAGTCTACAATATCATTTTATTCCCAATAGGTATAAAATTTAAGACAAAGCAACGGACCCCATTAATTTGGTAGTTTCAATGTTCATAAATTAATTATGTAACTCCAAATGCATATTGTATTCAGAACTGTATATCTCAAAATTGACTGATTTCAACCAATAATTGGATTTCTAGATGAAAAAATGTGAGGAGAATCACTGTAAGAAGCATATTTCTTGTTTGGTTCGACGTTTTAGAATTTAGTGGTAATACACAGCCTAGTAAATATGTGACAACTCGGAAGCTAGGTTAATGAATAATGTTAGTATAGGGGAGTTGAGGGGATAATCTTGTTTTCATTTTGCATCACGAATTCACTATAGCTAGACATAAATTAGAAACAAGAGAGTACTAAACATATGTTTCACTCCAGAAGTACTAGAACAACCCGTTCAAGGATCATTCCAACGGCCTAATACACGTTCCCAGTATATTAACAAAGTTGACATTCAAATATTGACATATGTATCTGATATTCAATGATTATCTGTGATTTAAACTAAAAATAATACCAATAGTACAGTACATCATAGTTCTAAATTAGACAGTTACAAATTGAATCTTACTAGTCAAAGCTTAAAAATAAAACTGGGATCAATGGTCAGATAGATGAATTAATCTTGTTGGCATTCCATGTTTACACCAAAGAAATGGAAAGCAAAAAATCTTGCCATTTCGCTCCTTTTGTAATTGTAGTTTTTAACGTCAGTATTTACGTCATTCATAACAGCTTTTAATGGATAAAATAACTACCAGAAATATAAAAGCATCAACAACCTTAGCTGTAATTAAATTAACAACATAGTGAAGCAATAATTTTTGAGTGTGTGTACCATGATAAAATGATAACAGTCCGAAAGCAACCATTAAAAATCAAATAGGATTGGACAGTATACTTGTTTCCGTCGCTCATTTTTCACTGGTGCATTAGTACGATAGCTTTATATTATATCGAAATCAGATAATTTAGGTCTGGATGTGAGTACAGTGTTTGCGATAATACTGGGTTGGAATATTGTTATATTCATTAGTATTCTATATTTAACATTAAATACTATGAATTTAATCATGTTCTTAGATATATTATTGGCAGAGATATCGACTGTGAATCAGTCTTTCTTGTATTTATATTGTGTCAATTAATCCTCTTACAATTTGCTTTTTTTTCAGGTTAATAGCATTTGTACCTATTGTGTAGATGGGTTCACTTAAATGTTTTATCTTAGGATTTCAAGAATTTCTTACAACACCTAGTCGTTTATGGAGAATGCATTATCATTTAACACAACTCACATCTAGCAATGCACAAAATACCAAAATTCATGAGCATCAACGTGAACGACAAAAACGTTTACAAATTCGAATTCCAAGCTCAGATAGATTAACAAGTATTGCATCACATATTGAAATGCCTGGCTCAAGTGTTGAGAAGTTAGCCAAGTCCAATGCTGATTCACCTATTTCACTTCCGAATTTATCTTCATCTTCATCATCATCACCGTCGTCATTGTCAACAACGTCAACATCTCAAATTAAACGTTCGTCATCAGATTCACAGGGTTTATTGGAACCATTGGCAAGAATGTGGTTGATAAATGTAGGACTGATATTGGTAAGCTGCATGTATATATATGTATATTACATTCTTTTAGACCTAATAACTAGTAAGAAGTAGTATAAAGGATTTTGGAGATTGTCGAAATCTGGAAGCGCTGGATGATCGTTTCAACCTAGTTTGGGACTCCTCAAAGGTGCTTATCCACAACCCCGCACTTGGGCATCGAACCCAGGACCTTCTGTCTCGCACACGAATGCTTAATCTTTAGATTAGTAAGCCACCATCCAGCGGTGTTAATCTATAAATCCGATCAATCCACAATCTTGCACTTATATATAATTACTCAATATGAGTATATGTTGTATCAGTCAGTCATAGGCTACATAGTGCCTGACACATGTATACATCGATTTGAGTCCCCACACCAGATCAGCATAGTGATACGAAATTGTCTAGACATGTCAAAGTAGTAGACGTTTTGATACTACAATCATGGTAGGAAAGATTAGTTATAGACAATATGGTTTGAGAAAGAAATAATTTGAGGAATAAAAAATATGAGATGGTTTTTATCGTAGAATTCAAGGGAAAATAACGAGTGAATATATCTACACTATTCTGAACAAAATCATTCAATGTCTCTAGTAATTGGTCACAATTATCTCTCGAACCCTAACCAGATAGATTGCACCTAACAACACTGATCGGTCGAGTAGTCAATGATATCATTGTACTAATGTTACATTTTTGTTTGACCGCTCCTTGGGTTTACATTGGCTGATTGATTACATCTCATTGAAAAATAATACATGAAATAAGGGGAATTACGAATAAGGTAAAGAAATTTTGTTTTGAGAAATAGGAATTTCTTATATGATCAATACTTTTGAGTGATACTACATTCATTTAATTTTCTTTCGATTTAATACTCATGACATCACACGATCACGATAATGTAGGATATAATGTTCACTACATTGTTAGATATTTTTCGTCATATAATGAACAAGATGTAATTAAATAATTTTCTCAGTGTTTCCTTCTTATATTGTTTCTTTCTTTTGTTATACTGAATTTTAGGTGTTAGCCATAATCTCGTATTTATTTTCCCTAATTCCACTAACCCCATCGCTTGGTAAGTAATTATGATGTTTACTTCGAAAATAAAAAAAGAATTATGTAATATAACTTAGAGAAACCGAATACAGATTTGTGGGCTTCAGTTTGGGTCTTATACAATATGTATGAGGTGAGATTGTGTATGCTGTCTGATTGGCATTCTCTCTGTACGAATATCTGTGGTGTAGCATATATTTGTTGGGTTCTATCGTTGCCTATCTCTAACTGGTTGTCAGATTGGCAAACATTGAACTGAGTAGAACGGAGCTTAAACTGAATACAGAATGGTGAACATTTTCGAATGTTTCAACCACTAAATACGTTGCGTTTATCTTCCTCTTACCGATGATTTCCATAAAATATGTTTTGTTAAATAAGTCAAGTAATGAAAATAAAGTTATTCTGTACGGTAAACGTTATTTGTATCTCTTACCTTGGCTTTAGGTTGTGTCAAATAGATCTAAATTTAATGTGCAGTCTTATTATGACTGTCTTACTTTACACTTTTGTGTTTCTGATTAATCAGATTAATCGGTTCGATGGAAATGATCCTTCTAATTATTCACTGATAAATATGATTTTGAACATAGTGTATAGTGTTTCAAGTTCTATATTTTTTCATTCGATGTTTCGGTAATACGAATACCTTTGTAGGAGAATTACTTGGGGTTTGGTCTTGGTTCGAGTGATGTAAGAATATGTGTTTGATGATTATTAGACCACACTGCGAAGATAATTGAATCCTAATGTGTTGTGTTGAAAAAAAGCCTCGTGTTTTAGAAGTGCTACCGGGATCTGTCAAAAAACGCTTATTTATCTATCACTTTTTATCCTGGAAATATGTTCAAATTCCTTCAACTCGAAAAATTTTATTCTTAACGATTGATGCTCAAGTTCATACTATGTAAATGATCAATTCCAAATCGTTTTCGATTAAATCATCACCATCAGTACTGACAACAAATAAACTCTTCTCCGTTAAAATTTATTCCCACAATTGTCGATAATTAGGATCCAGCATAAATCTTAAGTTATGTTCATTGAACTTCGTCATAGTTGTTTAGTACATAACGCAATGCTTTATATACACTTATTGTTTATTTTTTCACATATCATGAAAATCACATTACGGCATGCATGTTTTATGCGACTATTATTTTGCACTTTTATTTATTTCTGACGATAAATTTCTGTACTCTTTTAGAGTTGGGCAAATATGAATCCTCGACTTCTAACCACTAAGTTACAGGTTCGAACCTTATTCCACCAACTTAGGTTTACACAGCCGTGTAGTGTCGTTAGCCCAGACAATTAGAGTGTGACTCATACCCAGTGAATGAGTTAATGAAAAATAAATTTACTTTGATTTGGGTTTGAGCGCTAACTTCTGTTATATACAATACGTTATTCATATGTATCCACGCTTTGTTTCTTCGTGCTATATTTCTAATTGGTTCTAGGAGACACTTATAATCATTAGTCGAAGACACTAGTTCATCCTAACTGAAATCAGTGTGTATGAAGTGGATGCACCAAATGTCCAATTTTTCGTAGGTGATAAACGTTATGTGATATAACATCATTACATCTGTTATTATCCCGGTTTTGTGGAGATTTGATTCCATAGTTTACATCACGAACTGATTTTATTTAGACAAATATTGAATACGGACTTATTGGTCTTAAGGCTAAGCTCTGGCTGAGAGACCTGAGTTTGATTTTTAATTAGATCGTAAATGAAAGCAAATGAAAAATCCCAACCGTTCAGTGCTTTCTAGTTCCAATGACTGTTCAACTAAAGTCAACGCGCAGTGTTAATCATAAAGTTACTAAATATATCTTGCGTTTTTGGAACCTGTTTTGATCCCTTTTCGTATTATTATTGTTACTAATTCTCTTCTGTATTTCCGTTATTGATTGTACTCACTCTTTGTAAGCTATGGTATTTTGAATGTTTATGCCATTGTTCGATGTATCAAGTTGTTTTTATCTCTCTGTGGAGGTTGACTGTTTCCATAAATTTATATCAAACACAAATCTCAATTTAGTATTTTTCTGTCAAAGTTCATATATCTGTAGGTGTGTGAATAAATCGGAGCATGATAAACCCATTTTTAACCCACTTTTCTTATTGTTCTTTGTCAATTACTCTTGAATTCATTATTTTCTTCTCTCTCTGTCAGTATCATGGTTCGAGTCTTCACGTTTCTGTCACTTCGTCCATCGATTATTCTCATGCAGTGTACACATAGCATTGCTTTTATTTATGGAATTAGTCAATCTTTTGTACTTGAAAGTAAGTATAGTTAAGTTTTATCATTCTCTTATTCCGAAAATGTATCGTCATAATTGGAACCATAGTAAATTAACCAAATTACATTTTTGAGTTTAATATACCAATCGGATACAGATTGAATGTACGTTGAAGCATTCCTAGCTTCCCTTATCAATATATTGGGTACCATTATGAATCACTTTTTGTGCCTATTGCTTAAATGGAATATGATCTAATCGTTAATGATGTGGAGTAAATATAGATCCTACTTCGTATATGTTCTGTCGACAAATCCCGTTAATAACAGCATAAATATAAAAGTCGAATACGAGTGTTTCGGATATTTCTGTTTCATAAATTCATTTCGGCAAACAGAAAAATAGCTGAGAAGCAAAGAAGACAGATATACCTACTTAAAATACTACTTATTACAAACATTAATGTAACTCAAAGTAAATAATTCATAGTGCGACAACTAGATAGGCATCAGACGCATAAGCACACACAATGACATAGATATTTGGCGGGGGGGGGGTACGTTTACCGAAGGTTACAACTTCCTATGAAAAGAAAGTAAAAATAGCTCAGTAGTCATATGCCATCCGAGTTGTTAAATTCTGCCCAGAAGTTAAAATAAATCACGTGTAATAACACAGAAGCTGCTACAACCAGTTTCCCCCTGGAATACAGGAATTTAACGAAAACATGACCGTGTTCAAAGGTAAATTGCGCTTCATTTTAATGTATGTGCTAGTGATGTTGTTGATAATAATAATAATAAAGGCTTCATGATGCAACTATCCAGCTCAAAAACCACAAATCTTTTGAAATTCTGATCTTGGGATATAAATTTTTTAAAATAATTTTGACATGAAATTTCTTTTTATTATACACAGAAAATATGCGATCGTATAACCTTGTTATCTATGACTAAAGAATATCGGTATATTCAAAGAACTACTACACGATGTTGTATACTTTTTACTGGTTTATCAAAATTTTCTGCTAATGATCGTTCAAATGTTTTCTTAAACTCTGCAATTGGTGGTACAATCATGGATCGTTTATATACACTAATCTTTTTTATGATATTTCAATTACAAGTAGGTTGAATATTCCAGGTTTCAGTTCCTTTGTGTGTATCTTTTTGATGTCACTGTTTTTATTGGCTGTTAACTCGTTATTAATATGTGACTGATGGCGTTAGTCTCTTCTGACTAATGATTACTATATACGGTATTTTAGCTGAGTGGCTAAAAATATTACACTTTACTATATCCTACGGATTTCTGTTACCGGCTGTAGAACCTGAAAAGTATGTAGCTATGATAAACTAAGAACCACTTGCAAAATGCTGTGTGGCCAGCCTCGAACATTTGTCCTTTGGACGTTTTGGTCGAGATCACTGTTAGTTCAGTTTATCTTTCGAGTACCTAAAGAAAACGAATCATCATTTCATGGTGTTGGTGACCAGGAAGTAACAACTGACCACATACCTCTTAAAGAATTCGAAACTATCCTGTTCACGATCAAATTCTAGTTAAATAGCTTGACTTCTAGTCATTAATAGGCAGATTTGAATTCAACTCAATCTACTTCAATAAAAGCAGCTGAGTGGTATTCATATCGCTTATGCATACTCACACACAACTAGTGTAACTCAGAACCAGTTTCATAAACCTGTATCTGACTGATTTCTCAGATTAAAATTATTGAAGTGAATACTATACTAATACACTGGACCATTAAAAAGTCACCAAATGAAAAGTCCACATTGTGCCGATCAAAAACCTAATATAACAAGTCCAAGAAATGGTTCTATTTTCTAATGAGTAGATACATATTTATAAATGATTACTTTTGCATGTGATTTAGCCCAATAAATTTCCTCTTTCATTCTCCATCTTCTCACTCAGTAGCCGGTTGGAAGGTTGGGGATAGAGTTTGTGTATCAGTATCAGTCTCGGACACCGTGGGTCATAATAAATATTTTTTTGTTTTTAAAGAGGATTGTTAGACCAATGCTCGATTTATTGCGAGAATTCTTGTGTTGAGTTTGGAAAACTGATCAATAATAGTTATGCAAATTAAATATGGGCATGTCTAAAATCTCCGCAAAATCGCATCACTAATGACTAGTTTTTGGATTTGCGACTAAAGAACCTTATGAAAATCTGTTGAAGAGCATATTTTTTGTCCACATACCTTTATTTCAACTCAGTATTAGTTAACTGATATTTTACATGCTGCGGTATTTGAATGTCCTCAGTTCAATCAGATGTAATGATGGATACATATTGCAGAAAAATCCAGAATCCAAATGAAAAAGACATTCAGTACTCATTTCTTTTTTCAGTTATCCTCTATCTTGTGTCACTTCTCGATGAAAATTGTTTCTAAGGTCCTAACACAATCACCTCAATAAATATGCCAATACAAAATTTTATATAGAGATTACGGTTTCTGTGTTTACAGTGCGTTTATGTAAGTGTACCTTGTATTTCGTTATCTTCTACGAAATGTGAAACGGTCGGAAAATGCGATATTTTCCAACATTTCCATCATTTAGAAATAGTTTGACTCAAACTCACATTGTTAATGGCTGACTCACAAAAACACTTCAAGATTTTTTCTGTTAATACCAGTATCGTCTGTCGAAGGCACTCGTGGATAAAATACAGTTGTTCTCGACTAGAAGCCTGTTAGTCTGTTAGAGCTGCGAAGTTGGTTTGCTATACTTTCCTTATTTTCTCAGTTATTGGAATCTAGGTTAATGAATAGTTAGATGGTGGAGTAGGGCGGGGTAGGGAGGCAGTAGATAACATCTGCGTTGTGGATGTTCTGTCCTAATACATCCAGTTCTTCTAACTACATAACGGAGTTTATGCGCAACGATGATATAAGATTGTATAGTTTTAATACTACAATTATTAACATTATTGCACCAAAATTTAACTTGTCAATCTTGCTGATAAAATTCATCATATTCAATGTGATAATTTTGAATACGATTAAGATATCTCATTTTTCCAGTCAGTCACAACACAAAACCGGGTGCGTGCGTATATTGGTTCAAGTTGCTATACCCCATTAGCACAGAGACGAAATCGGTGGTAACAGTATTAGTGGAATAAAAAAGAAATTTTGAGGGATTATGAAGCTTAGAATTTGAGGGAAAACAAACAATGAATTCACCTGCTCCATCGCAAGCGAATTTGAGAGTTGTTGATCCCATATTCAACTGCTTATATCGCCTCCAAATTTTCCACTCTTGAACATCGATTTCTAACTGTATTATTAATTTATTTTTGTGATTGTTGTTGATTTGTTTTTACGTTTTCTAGTGGAGTTTATTGGCTACACTGTCAGCAAATTACTGGATTGGTCACGTGATCAACGCTTTCTCTGTTGCTTTCTTGTATGCATGTTATGCATTTGAATATCGTTGGCGACAAGTTGCCGGTAATTTAAACGTTTTAGTTTTCTTGAGGTTGTTATCTTCGTACATACGAACTGTTATGAATTGACTGATCTATCAAGACCTTGTTTCTGCCTCTGTCCTCAGCTATTTTCCAGCTTACATTGCTATATGATACGCTGGCTGACATCGTCATTGTAAGTTGGATAAAAAGTTTATCGAGTAAGAGGTTGTTGGCTTGAGTCATGTTGGTAGGTGTAGACTTCCTGATTTTGGGCCTAATCAGCAGTCGGAAAGGTTATGTGATGGCATGACGCAAAACTGATCTCAATTGTACAGTTTCATTTATTCTCCATCTTCATATTTTAAGTGTAGTGTCATTCCACACTCTTCACTGTTTGATCTGATTTGTTCCTTTTAAACTATCTCATGGTCAACTAGGTTTTTTGATACATTTTTAGTTGGGTCACGTGATTAAGTTGTGCTGTTTAGTTTGTAAAAAGCGTTGGTAGTGTGTAGTTTGCTTCAAAATTAATTTGAAGCTACTTTTTTGAAACTTATGGTTATAGTTGTGAATTTAGATCGGTGGCTCTGTGGTTAGGGTTTTTAACTTTTAGTCCTATATCAATGGTTCGAACCCTATTCCAGCTACTCCAGTCTGAACAATCTGATAGTATCACTATCCTTCACACGAAAAGTACGAATTTTGACCAACCACACAGGTCTGTAGTTGGTAAGTGGGATAATACTATCTTATTGTAGTCAAAATTAGTTTCTCTACTTTAGTACTCATCTTGTTACTCTCTCTCCTCTTGCTGTAATGATGTGAAGTGTACTAGTGTAGACTGATGCATTCTCCTGTCTTTATTCTACATTGAGGATGACTTACGCGGTAAGTAACATTGTATAACACATTATTACAGAGATAAAATTATATGTATTGAAAGAAGAAATTGTCATTGAATAATACCTTTTGTACGTTAATTTTTAATCGGTCTTCATTATTTCTTGTTCTAAACCTTCATTAGGCACTACCTTTGAAGGATTTTTAGGACGAATTGTTGATAATTGGACGTATTTCCTCGGATACGGTCTACCACTTGGTTGTGCATCTATTGTATTCCCACATTTTATCGGTTGGGGTGGTGTAATTCTTGCAATAGGTTATCCAGTTCTTGTAATTGGTGCATTAGGTAGTCGTTGGCGTCCATTTGATGTGAATATTAATGTGAAAGATGAATGGAAATTATTTCATTTATTACGTTATTGTTTAATTATTTCACTTCGACCAGCATTATGGGTTTCTAATTTAGTTGTACAAACTACTGCATGGTTTGTTTATCAATTTTGGTTTCGACAAAATTATCCAATTACCAATGATGAAAGTCGTCAATTTTGAATAGTTATTAGTATATTTATTGGATTGTTAACTTCAATTTATTTCTAGAGGTTAGATTTTCGGTTGAAGAATCATAAAAAGAAGTTACATCACATTTTCGATGCATAATAATATATACTTTCAATGACATGATCGTTATGCAAAGATAGTTTCAATGTTCATTCATGAATTACTATGTTTAATGAACACTTGAAGCTTGTAACCATTACAAATTATAATCATTAAAACACCATTCATTATTTTCTAATTCTATTTTGGATTTTATTTTATTCTCAGATATAATAATGAGTTAAATGAATATAATTTTATTGTTTTGTCACTTTGTCACCACACTGTCTTGTATGTTTATTCACAGTTGAATTTCTAACTCACCTTGGTGCCAAAGCATTTTACTCTTCATTTCGTTCTTTTTTTTATTTAAAAAAAAGAAGTTTTATTACACGGATCTACATAGGTTTATAATCCTTTTGTTCAATTGTTAATAGCTGAGTATTAGTATTGTAACAGTAGTAGTAGTAGTAGTGCTTACATAAAGACAAAGAAAGTAAATGATTAACTAATTTATCAGGTATACAATTTCGTATATTTGATTTCGAACGGCTCTATAATTGTAAGAGCTAATGATATACTACTACTCAACTGTTTAAATCGAAGTGTAAGTGAAATGGGATTTAAACCCTGTGACTTAGGTATTGAAAATTTAATACCTTAACCTACTGTAACTATCACTCCATGTAAGACATCCCTAAGAAAAAAAAAACTGAACTTCTTGACTGTACTTGTTAATATCAGAGAGTGTAATCATCAATAATGTTTAGTTAGTTATATTTTCTATTTGAACATTTTCATTTGTTTAATTGCTTATTATTTTTTAGTTTAATTTTTTGCTTTAATTATTTTTCTTTTGTTTGTTACAAATTTACATCATTTCATAGTGTGTATGATTTATCCATCATACAGGGATACAACAAGAAAGATAGTAGTAAATCATTTTCCCCTTAAAATAATCGTCAATCCTATCCATTGTAGTCTAATATATAAATTTCATGTATATTGATAGAAGAATTATACTCATTTGTATGTGTTTGTGCTTTTTCTTGTTCTGTTGTCAAGGGAATTCTATCCTATATCGTTGAAATCATGTGTAAATCATAATGAGTTGAGCATTATATTTGTATACTGAAAAAAATGTATATTTGTTGTCTTTCGTGTACGTTAGTTTTATATTTCCACCTAATAATTAAAAAAATAAATTCATTATGCCGTATATATGTGTTCTTTAATTTTTATCTTCATCATATATATGAATTCAGAGAATGGTTAATGTTTTTCTTGATTGAGATCATAAACCGATTGGTGTTCGACCACCATTGTAAACCTGGAAGCACTGGACGGCCGTTTCGTCCCATTGTGAGACTCCTCGGCAGCGCGCATCCACGATACCGCCCCACGGGATTCGGACCCAGAGCCTATCAATCTCTCGCCAGGCGCTTAACCAACTAGACTACTGAGCCGGCATTCATTGGTGTTAATGCCCGGCGTGAGACTGATAGGTCCTGGGTCGGAATCCCGCGAGGCGGGGTCGTGGATGCGCACTGCCGAGGAGTCTCACAATAGGACGGAACGACCGTCCAGTGCTTCGAGGTTTTTCACGGTAGTCTAACTTCAATTGACTCGTGATCTTAACTGTTAAAATTACTACAATCTCCACAAAACCCCTTCTGATATTATCTATTTGTTCATATTAAAAGATGAAATTTTTCTTATTGTGAAAGAAAAATAATGACAAATTTTGATTTTGCAAAAAGATAAATCTCATTAAGGAAATGAAGCCAATTATTACAACTGCGGTACAAAAAGTGATTTCGTTTGAAAAAATGTCACTTTTACCCACATATATTATTCTCTAGATATATGAACTTTGAAATTGTTTGTCATTAAATAGCAAAGCAACCAAGGAATTCTGGCAGTTTTTCTGAAAATTAATTTGGATTTCGATTGTATAAAATCCATGGTGTACGTAGTTGTGTATAATGTTCCTTGAAAAAAAACAGAAAAGTTCCTATTCTTCAGCCGAACCAAGTAGATTTTAAATTTTCGAATAACGATTTCAACCGCCTCATGTTCACATGAAACCTAATATTACTATTCTATTTCGATCATATATTGAAAAAACGCGTGACGTAACAAAATAGATGACTTATTATTCGCTACTTACTTTTGTAATAATTCATTACATTTTGAATTGGACTTATAAGCGATTGATACAGTGCACGAAACATATGTACATGTTAGCTTGAAAATAATCTAAATCAATGGTACCTAATTTTCCCCATGCCAATTAATTTCATTACCTCGGTTCTGAGCCAAGTTTTGAAATATAGTCCTTAGTTTTATGTAAAAGTATACATTAGGGAACAACAACGACAAAGTCACTACAATCAATCCTATGCAAACCAAAGGATGAAATAACAAAGGAAGACAAATCAAACATCATCTAGAAAATAAATTGTGCCAACTGCGGAAAACACTACATCGGACAAAGTGGACGCCCCCTTTCACCTTCGTCTACATGAACATCAATTAGCAGTCAAACGCCATGACATTTCCTCACTTATATCAATGCACGTGGACAGCTGCGGACACTCGTTCGATTAGAAAAATGTGGAAATCTTGGACAGAGGAAATTCCAAAAACAGCAGGGAATTTTTAGAAGCCTGACACCCAGGTCAATTAGCAATCGACAAGCACATTGAAATCGATCCGATTTATCAATCAATCAGGAAAATTCTACACATATATGGGAACAAAAACCAAACCAATGGGAGACAACCAAAACAATGACGAATTTAAGGTCAATAAGAACTAATCAACGTCGAGGTGTACAGAACAAGCTGTGAAACGCATATGGAGAAATTCAAACACTTCACTTCTTCCTGAAGGTTGTGCTGATGATGTCGTTCAAAAGAACGATGGAAGCTCCACGACTAAACCATCCAGCTCAGAGAACAAAACCCCATCAAAGACGACTTTAATGAGTTTCTCACCTATTTTTAGCCAATCAAAAGACAGTTATTATTAATGAAAAGCTTGTGGAAATTTAAATAATGTCACCGACGTTATGTAATTAATGGGTCTTTTGATGTTGTTTTGGTTATTGTGCCTTTAAGTCAAAGGATCAACGACAAAATCGTCCTAATGGACATAGTTTGTTCATCTTTCCGAATTCCTATAAGTATCCAAACAGCTTTTTGAGTCCCTACATTGTCCCTAGTTAGAGTAAAGGTTTAGGGTTGGTGTGTTTATTTACAAACTGGCATCAGTTGTAATATAAGTTGCTGCACAGTCATGTGGATGAATAGATTTTACACAAAAGTATAAGGGGTATCTAGTGAGGTAGTTCAACCAGGTCTGAACATTTTTCAGGATTAAAAGTTTAGTGTTAGAGATAGAGTCAATCTACATATTATATACAATCTACAGATACAATTAATTAATTAATACAATCAATATTATTTTTCGCTCTCATTTTGACTGTTTTGAGCGGTACACAAAGGTAATTTTACTCCTCGTCTCAATGCTTCGGTTTCTCTTACTCTTCGAGGAACATAGGCAACCCACCTAGATTATCCACTGAACTCTATCCTGGGAAATCCTTTCCAGTTGCTATCTATTCATATCATGTCTGCCTCCACTTCTCTACAGTGTGTTCCTTGGTCTTCCCTTTCCTTCACCTGCACCGCTTCTGGGGTTAGGGCTTACCCTAAGTCCAAGTAAAGGAGCAGGGTTGGGCATACAATCTGCAATCTCATCCCGTAGGAAACAACCATAATAAAAAATACTAACCAGGAAAAAAGCAATTTAGACCATTCTATTTCTTGCAAAAATGAGGGAATCACATTATTGGTTCTGAGTGGTTTATACTTACCTACTTACTTACGCCTGTTACTCCTCGTGAAGGAGCATAGGCCGCTCACCAGCATTCTCCATCCAACCCTGTCCTGGGCAATCCTTTCTAGCTCCGTCCAGTTGTAATTAACCGTTTTCATATCTGCTTCTATTATCCGACGCAATGTGTTCTTTGGCCTTCCTCTTTTTCGCTTCCCTTCAGGATTCCAAGTTAGGGCTTGCCTCGATGCAGTTTGACGATTTGCGTAACGTATGTCCTATCCATTTCCATCGTCTTTTCCTAATTTCTTCTTCAGCTGGAAGTTGGTTTGTTCTCTCCCACAGAAGGCTGTTGCTGATGGTATCCGGCCAATGGATGTTGAGTATCTTGCGAAGACAGCTATTTATAAATACTTGTACTTTCTTAATTGTGGTTGTTGTAGTTCTCAACGTTTCAGCTCCATACAGTAGAACTGCCTTGATGTTGGTACTGAAGATTCTCACTTTGATATTGGTTGAAAGTTGTTTTGAGTTCCATATGTTCTTCAATTGTAGGAATGCGACCCTTGCTTTGCAGATCCTCGCCTTTACGTCTGCATCGGATCCTCCTTGTTCATCGATGATGCTTCCCAGGTATGTGAAGGACTCTACATCTTCCAGAGTTTCGCCATCAAGTGTGATTGGATTGCTGTTCTCCGCTTTGAATTTGAGGACCTTAGTTTTCCCTTTGTGTATGCTGAGGCCTACTGATGCAGAGACTGCTGCTACACTGGCTGTCTTTGTCTGCATCTGTTCGTGTGCACGTGATAGGAGGGCTAGGTCATCTGCGAAGTTCAAATCGTCTAATTGATTCTGAGCTGTCCATTGTATTCCGTGTTTTCCTTCAGATGTTGAGGTCTTCATAATCCAGTCGACCACCAGAAGAAAGAGGAAGGGAGAGAGTAAACAGCCTTGTCTGACTCCGGTCCTTACTTGGAATGCATCTGTCAGCTGTCCTCCATGCACTACTTTGCACTGTAGTCCGTCGTATGAGTTCCGGATAATATTGACAATCTTCTCAGGAACTCCGTAGTGTCGAAGAAGTTTCCATAACGTCCTCCTATCTACACTAT